ACGGCCACCTGTGGCGCTAAATACACAACAGCAGACAGAATGACAGGTAGCACCTGTATGCTGCTACACAAGAATGAAATATAACTAATTACAAGCCCTCGCCATTGTAAAAGTATATTACTTTTTCTAATGTTTTAATGTTTACAGCTGTTACGTTGCAGACAAGTGGAAAAAAAAAGTTCTGTGTTAATTTAAGTAGTCCAAAGTTCAAGAAGTCAGAGGCATCCTGATAGCTCACCTGGTACAGCTGGCGTCCCGTACCAAGGCTGAGTCCTTGCGGCCATCGGTCCGCAAGAAGTCCTCCAAATTAAACAACAAATCACGTAGTTGTATCTACCGTCCAGGAGAAGGACAGCATCAATAATCTGTGCCAAAATAAATGTATTTTGTGATGGGTTTTGTCACTTGAATGTAAACATGTCATTTTGGGGGCATTTGCTGAAACAACGGATGCTCTCGAGGGCAGTGTACAGTTATGGTGGTATGGACTTAATATAATTTCTTCCTTTCTTGAGGCTCAGCGGTCAGCAGAGACCATGGGCGTATAAAGAGAACTGGATACAATGTTGGAGGCGACGCTCCGTGCAATCCTTTGAAAGCTGCTCAGTGGTGCGTGGAGCCAAAAAGCCACTTCCCGCAGCAAAGAAATTACCCGGATGAATACTGCACTATGGGCCGCAGAGCTCATAGTGTTGTTCAAACCTGCTATCACATCCAAACTTATCGACAGCGCTCCTCATAGATAAAAAGTGACAATGTCGAAATCTGAGCTGCACAGCAGCAATTTATCAGTGCGTGTCCATAAAGTTGGGAGACTTGCGAGGGACAGATAAAAAAAGAAGAGAGAAAATGGAAGCAGCAGAGGTTGAAATACCCTGACGTAGTGTTGGTCTCCAAAAACACTAGATCCAATAATTCCCACAATACAACTCAGTGGCCTCTTTTTGTTAGTCACTCCCTGCCTGGCAAATGATCATATCTTTCAAACTCCATCAGCCCAGATTGTAACACAAGCTTTCCCTAACGGCATCATCAAGTGTTATAGCCCTCCAGAGCCACAGAAGATTTTACACTGTTTTCACAGGCTGGCTTGTGTTCCTGTGACAAATAAACTGATCTTCATGTGTAAAATACTGAAGTGCAACATTAGGGTAAAATGCCCATTTATTCCTTAACCTTAAAATTCCTGTCACTTCGCATCCTGACTCAACAATGTGAAGTCAACAATGAAAACCATTATCTGGTGCTGTTCCTGATACTACATTGTGAAACTTGGCTATTTTCGTCACACCACAATATTAAGTTCAAGGAGTAGAGACGTGTAATTTATCAGTCGGGTTACAGTGTCAACAGTGGTATAACAGGGGATTTTCTTTAATTCTTGGCCTTACAAAACAGTGGCAAGTCATTGGATAGCTGGGACACTTTTAATCACAGCTGAGATTGCATGCCATTTTTGTCCTCTGAGCCTTTATTGATGGAACTGTTGTCAACTCAGGAGGACAGTTGCCCCGATTTCCAATTACTTCAGCTGTAAAATGGTTTATATAACCATTGATTTGATACATGCGCGGCATATATAATATGCAAAGAGGACTGTTTTTTTGTTTGTTTTTTGCAGGTAAGGGTTTCTACAAGAGCTCTTTTGAGGATTTACTTGCCTGTTAAACATGAGCAATCCATCTGTCTTTCGTATTTATTTTCCTGTCATTATACTCAAAAGTGTTTTGAGTGTTTGCCAGTCTATAGCCCTCTTGCCTGGGATTGATGCCTCAGAGCTTATTCATTGACATTTACATGAGATGGGGACCTTGAAATGATTTAGACCTGTCAAATGCATTAATGGGATTCAGGCCTCCCTGGACTGTGGTGTTGATTTGGGATTAGACTAGAGTTATTGCAGGCGCTGCTGTCATTGTTTCCACTGTTGAGAGCTGAAGTGTAGTCTCAATGAGCCGAGTTGTCTTAGACGGATCCTCCTAAATGACTCTTTGTTTTTGTTGTTGTTTTCTCTTCTCTTGTCAAACATTCTTCTAAGGGGCTCCATTGGCATCTATCCTTCAATTAAATCACTATAGGAGCTCCTTTTGGCAGACTTTTGCCATTAAACCTCTCTGTTTCTGTGGAGCTGAGCTCTGCCCTCTGTCTTGCAAAGGAGAGGACAAAGCAGCAAAATAAATGACAGAAAAATGTGGTAACACTAGAAGCTGCGCCCTGTAAATAATATGTAATGATTTTTATGATTAATGATCGTCAGGCCGTTTCGGTGGCACCCTACACACAGCGCCTGATGTGTGTGTATAGCAGCGGTGCAGTATGTGTGAGGAATTTAAAGTTTGCATTAATTACGTAGCCGCTTGATTTAATTGGCATGTAACTGACCTGGACAGCAAATCCATGTGGCACTGTTGCGTACAGCTTTAAGAATTGGTGGTTCCCAACTTTTTATTTTAAGGAATCCTTTTCTATCATTGAATAAACTGACAACCCCTGATTAAGTGAAAAGTTCATGGATATTTCATATTTTATTTGCATAACAATAACTGTACAGAACAATTGATAAACTGTAAAATGATCCCAAATAGTGAGCACAATTACAACAGGAAGTTTGTGCAAAAAGAGCGATTTTGACGAATTATGAGCAGATTATTTAAAATTTATTTAAAAAATTAAGGAAACATTCATACTTAATAGGTTTCTTTTTTTGACAAGATTTAGTAGTTTTAATAATGCAGGACAAGGTTTATCAGAGAGTGAAGGCTCTGTGAATGTAGCTTGAGTTCAAGGTTATATCTTAAAGGATACTTTTCTTATTTGAAAAATAACAAAGTCATTTAGTTTTCTTTAAAGAAATAAATGAAATGCTGAGATAGTAGAACAGCGTGAGTTGTATATCAAGTTTTCTTACCACCCCTTAAAATCAAAGAAGGACCGGGCCACCCCAGTCAAGACTATTATCATTTACTGTGAGCTCTCCTGTCAATGATTCCCAGTTTTTCTGCAAACTGAATTATATTTTGTAGTTCAGAAAGGGTTGGTTTGGTAAGGGAAAAAATATGAACATTACTTTTTTTACTCTGGAACATGAAATGAAATCTCTAAAGCTTTCACAGCTTTCACATTTCAGTCTTTTTAAAAAAAATATGTTATATGTTTAGTATGTCCACTGGCGTGTACCTGATTTATAATACTCACACTTGAATAACAGATAGCAGTAAAAAAAAAAAAAAACATAAAATGACCTGCAGTGCTTTGACTGTGTTTGTCTTAGATGAAGAAATTATCTTTCGAAGCTGGGATGGAGACATTTTGAAAGTCAGCACAAACAGCAACGAGACAGAACTCATGCTGAAAAACACAACATTTGTAAGTGCTAACTACTGTCTTTCTCTAAATGTATGAAATTCTTCCAGTGCATTTAGATCATTTTTATTTTATTTTTTATTGAGATAAAAAAAAGCTGTAGAAAGTAAACTCTGACCCTGCAAAAGTTTTACTGTAACTTCTTTACCACTTAACTCAGTTTGTGATAATGCTTTTAGTTTATATTTTGGTTCACCAATGACAAGCGTATTGTTTGGGCGACGTCGTTATCTCTGAAATATTAAGGGTATCTCCATGGAAAAAAATGTTATTGTTTTGGAGGAAAAAAAAAAAAAAAAAGATCTCATCCATCTCTTGTTCTTCCCACAGGCAACTTTTAAGGCTTCAAAATTTGAGGTTTCTCCCGATTTGAACTTTGTTCTCCTGGGATATGATGTCAAGCAGGTGAGAACCTCTTAATATTCAGGTTGCATTATGTTCTGACACTGGTGTTTGTCTTGGGGCTGCTAATACTGGAGGTTTACAGTTCATGAACTAAAATGGAAATATGACCAACATGGAGATCTGTCTGTTCGGAGTCAGGGAGTTAAAGCCAACATTGATCCAGAACGGGGGGTGCAGGTTTCAGAAATATAAAAAGAAATGTTTTCAATCGCATACTACAACAACCCTGCGGGCTATGAAATGTGCAAGTATTAATGCATGTTAAAACATATCTATAAAATGTGTTATAAGAACTTGACCTGACCACTTTTCTTCCATCACTTCTTCTTTAGTCTAGTAAGTTTTAGTCTCTGTGTTTCCATGAAGGGTGTTTTTAATGTTGATAGTGTCTGTATTTTATCAGTCACAGTGTTGGAGGGGTACAAGTAGCTGTTTGTGCAGAGGGATCGTCTGTTATGACTCAGTGCACTTATTTTTAGAAGTTCTTCCATAGACCAGAGGTTAGCCCAGAGGGCAATCTTAACACAATGTGTGTTTGACGCCTGTCACTCATCCGTCTCGCAGAACAGATACATATCCATTATAGCTTATGTAACAATGCACTCTGAGTTACTATGCAACTCCCTGCACTAATGATTAATCAAAGACCCCAGTTTCACTATGAGCTTTCCAGTTTTAGAGGCTTATTTCCCTCGCACACTATGGTGAGCCAGAGAAATCAAATCAATTAATCATTCCAAAAACACAATGCTCTTCCTGTATATTCCCCATAGCTGAAAACTATTGTTTGTTAATTTCTGACATTGACATTGAGGACAGTTCTTATCTCTAAGCTTCTCAGAAACTGATGGCCAAATGGAGGTCATTTGACCGTCACTGTCTGTTTTTGATTCAAAAACAGGTCAAAACACAAGCGTCAATAGTGGCATAAACATGACACAATGTTGAGCTATAGGGGACGGGGTACTGGAACACCAACCAAAACCTGATAGTTTCAGAAGAAAGAAAACCTTTTAGCATTGCAATGCACAAAATATTATAATCTCTCGGGACTATAAACCATAAAAACTAATCTCATTAAACATAAATGAAATCTACAAAATAATCTTTTTTTAAATAGTAGGTTTTTAAAAGACGAGACAGCTCGGATCTCCTCAGGCAAGTGCAAAGGCTCTATCACCTTTTTGTATAAATATACAAGGCAATGCCTGTGCTGTTTTAAGTTGATTCTTATGATTCTTATTCTTATGAGCTTATACTGCATCTTCAGTGCACTACCAACTGTTTGTTTCAAGTTCATTATTGTCATATGCACAACATTTACAGGGAATTAGTCATTGGCTATGACATTCTTAGTTTGCAGGCTCCTTCTAACAAAGCTCATGCAAATGTGTACATAATAATAAAATTAACTATAATCTAAAACCACAGGACATAAAATAGAGTAGAACAGTTTGTAAACCATAGATAAATAAATATAATGTGTGTATATTGTGATGTGTACAGTGATAAGTATAAATGGATAGTACAAGTTATTTTAATACTTTTTGTAAGTTAAAGACACATTCCTAATTAAATACGTTTTATTAGGTATTTTGTTTTCACAGTGCAAATAAAAACTGCAAAACTAAATCAGTGTCACTTTAACTTAAAAAAAAAAAATAGTTAGCGTAAGTTAAATAAATATAAATCCTGAAATGGAAACACGTTGTTAACAGTTATAAACTAGGTAACAGGTGGAAGCAATGCATCAATAATACCAGTATGACATTGGTATAAAATGTGAAGTGACATTAATGTATCACACGATGCAAGTAAAGTGACTTAGTCATGAACTTGAGAGTTCATCAGGATGAAGCTGTTCCTGAGCTTGGTGGTCGGAGGGCAGCATGCAGTACAGTCTGTGGCTGGGATGACTGTGGTCTCTGATGATCCTGTTGGCCTTCCTCCTTCACCACTGGGGGTTGCGGTAGCAGGATGGTGTATGAGAGACTGAGTCATACTGCAAATTGTGTGTTTATTGTAATGAAGGAACATTTCACCCAGTTCGACAGCGTGGCTCACTGATGTGTTTTTAATAGTTTTTTGTACAACGATGGAGCTCTATGGAACAGAAGAAGATATATCAGCACACACAGTAGTCAGTAGTATCAATTAGTAGTTGATTTTAGTCTTCTTGTAGTATTTAAAGACAATAGAAAAAATGTAGAAAAACATTTGAAAATCTTCATTTACGTGACAACACCAGCCACCTGTGCTGTCAATTGCACTTGAATAAAGATCAGTGATGATACATTACAGAACATCTTGTGTGAAATAAACATGATACTGTTTAGTTTAATTTTTAGTATTTTCATCAGTATTCATACATTTCAGATAATTGTTATGTTGCACTGTACTATCAGACCCCTTTTAACTGGTGGTGTTCATCTGTTGAAAGGAATACAATGAATCTAACATTGTACAGTGGAAAGCAGAAACAAGATTAGCATGATTTTTGCTCGCCAGCATGGCAGCTGTTGATCAGCTGCGGGACTTTGCTACACTGACCTTGATGCTTTGTTCGTCTTGTAAACATTTGTTTTCTTTATCGTTTATACTCATAAAGCATTCATGTGTCTTGAACTCCATTAACTGAACTAAATTGTTTTAAGCTTTTATGTTGTATCTGAGTATAAAATATCAAAGATAAATAAGGGCTGCTGTGGCTCGGGAGGTAGAGCGGGTCGTCCACTGATAACAGGGTAGGCAGTTTGATCCCCACCTCCTGCTGTCTGCATGTGGAAGTGTCCTTGGGCTACACACTGAACCCCAAAGTGCTCCTGAAAATTGTGGCTGTTTCCTCGGGGATAAGCTGAAAGAAACAATCAATGCTGGAAGTCAATTAACAAGTTAGCAGAGCAAACAAAGGTGTTTTGACTGTGATTGTTCGGTTTAATTGCAGTTTTTTGTTTGTTTTACAACTCATTCAGATAGTAGGAGCTTATTTTAATCAAGCATCATGGTTTGAAATGAAAAAAAATTGTTTTTTGTACACAATAGCTTAGTGCCTTCAGTTGTGATTGCATTTATAGAGGTGGCATAAATTAGTGAAATTTGCGAAAGACCACAAGTCCACCAGCACAGGCGTACTTTAGGTGGTGATAAACTGTATGAGAGCCCTTGTAATTGGTGTGAAATTGCAGGCAAGTGATGGTACAGTTCAGTTCAGTTTAGTTATTTTCATACAACTATTTTTTTACTTTTCATTTGTAATAGTATCATTATCCTATTTACTTCTGCCAAATTACAACCATTGAAGAAAATGCTTTGAGGGCAAAAAGCTGTTTGATCCAATCAGCCTTTTGTGCCAAAGGGTTTGACCTCTGTGTGTCAAACAGTTTAGTGTAATTGCCAATTGCCAATTGCATTAGCACGATGTTCCCCTGAGTCAATCTGGTGTTAGCCTGTAACTGTCTTAATCTGGAGGTGACAAGTGGATTACAATATTAGTGTGTGTTGTGGGATTGAATATTTAATCAGGTGAATTAAAAAGTACTATATCAAAAACGAATCACTACTGATTGCACTGTAGATACCTAGATGCCAGAAACTTAATCACTTTCTTGTCTTTGACTGATGTTCAATTCCAGCGTATTTTCAGGAGAATATTAACTGTAAATACAAATATTACCTAAAGAATGTAGTTGGCAGTACCATACTTTTATTCAGCCCTGAGCAGCGTTTGCAGGTATTCCTTTCAGGTTGCATACAATACTAGTTCTCTACCAATAAAGCAGTCGTATTTTTTAACTTTTATTACAAAGTTAGAGGATCTGTCACATCAGAGGTTTAGTGTTAGCAGGTCGTCTTAATACTTTAACCGTCCAGCTACTAAAAGCTGCTACTATAATGATTTGTGATTGAGAGATCAGACTGGAGCTCTTATAAACAAATAAAGAAAGTTAGTATAATGATAAATTCACAGTTATGACTGTGTTTAGTTTGCTGACATCAACATTAACAAGTTCTAGAAAAGAGAACTTTGTGTCTTTTCGCACTTGATGTAAATGTTGTTGGATTGCATTGAACAGGTGTTACTGTGTTCATGCCAAGTGCCTTCCCTTCATTGCGCTAACTTCTATTGCCTGAACTCTCTCATTGTGAAACATCCAATGCCCTCCAAGGACTAAGACATTTTTGGGGATCTGCACTTAATGACCTCAATTATAAGGAAGTGTTTTGGCTTATTAAGAAATGTATGCATTGATGGTCAAAAAATGTGAAGCATTTTCTCTTTTTCTGGTGATTTCAAGCATAGTTTTGTGCACATGTGAACTCTCTTTTCAAGCACACACCTGCTGAAATTAAATGTACCAGCTCACTGGCTTTGTTTCTGATTCTGCTGTAGTGTGTTTCATTGAAAGCCTGAATGAGAACAGATGTTTGTGTATAATGTAAGAAGATGAAAACATGCAAGCTTATCAAAAAATATGTTTTTGCATCACATGGCGTTCTCTGACGCTGACCTAATTTCTGCTGTCGTGTGTGTATGCAATTCTAGTCAGTGGTGCCCCTCACTGTGGTGAGAAGAACTCTTCATCGAGATGTGCAACACAAGAACCTCTTGACCTATATTTTGAACGTGACAAAGCTTATTGTGTGTCAAACTGGCCATTTACTAACTGTGTGCACACACACTCGACAACAAGCTAATTTGGCAGCTATTGTAGCTATCAAGGCACCATACAGTGCGGTGCACTTATTGCATTTTATGGAAAGCTATTCAAAGCCATGTCTTCTTTGGCTTGCTTTAATTTCATCAAGAAGCATCCTAAATTAAAACACACACATATGTTCCGCTTGTTGCTTCAATGAAGCACACTACAGAAGAATGAGAAACAAAGCCAGTGAGCCAGTGTGCTGTTATATTTCATTACAGAAGGCTTGAAAAGGTTTTTTTTACATGTGTACGAGAATTTGTTTTGAACATCAATGCAAAACACTTGTAAGCTAATCAG